CGCACCCGCAGAAGCGGCTAAATGATCGCAAAAGCGAAAAGCCTGGGCAAAACATATAAAAACGAGGGTTCCGAGATTTTCACCATTTTTAACATTTTGAGCTCGGGCTTAGGCCTTTTTTCAGAGGGTTTTTGAAGAGATTCTTGAGGTAAGTCCCTTGTGCTTGTTTTTTAATCAATAATCTTGTTTCCCCATTGATTTTCCCACCTAGTTTGTGTGTGTTTTGAGGTGTAATTTGGGTGTTGGAGGCTAGGGATTCGGAGAGTTGATTTTGGGGATTTGAGTGGCGATTTGGTGTTAGATTGTGACGAATTTGGTATGGTTAGACTCGTGGTTGAATGGGCTTTCAGGTTTTGTGACTTTTGTTAGATTTCAAGACGTGGGCCCGAGGTCCGGCTTGGAGCCGATTTCGGATTTTTGATTTATAATCTTGTATTTTCTTATGGAATTGATTCCTTTTGCGCGTGTTGATTGTATCGTATTGTTTGTGGTTAGATTCGAGGCATTTGGAGGCCGATTCGCAGGCTAAAGGTGTGTTGGAGTAGAGATTGGCACGGATGAGGTAAGTAACAATTCTAAATCTGGTTCTGAGGGTATGAAACCTCGGATTATGTGTTATGTGATTGGTTTGGAGGTGACGCACATGCTAGGTGACGGGCGTGTGAGCGTGCACCATAGGAATTGTGACTTGGTCCATTTCATGGAACTTTGAAGTTAATAACTTGTTGTTAGCTATGTACTCTCCATGTGTTATAGAAATTTGACTGCAAATCATGTTAGAAATCATATTTAGGCTATGTGTTGGTACTGTAGGGACCCATAGAGGTCGTGATACCTGTTGAATTACCTGCTAATTGCTACTTGTACTCAATCACACTTTTATTTGCATATCATACCTCAGTCTCTATTGTTCCTTGTTGATATACTATATCATTTATGTTTTGGGCTGATTTCTATGATTACTGAGAGCCCGAGAGACTGGAGAGGTTGATGACTGAGTGAGGTAGAGGGCCCAATTGTGAGGATATTGATACTATAGCACGTGAGTTGTCCGTGCAAATCCAGGTACTAATATAATAGCACGCGAGTTGTCCGTGCAACACGTGAGTTGTCCGTGCGGATCCAGATATTGATATTATAGCATGTGAGTTATCCGTGCAGCACGTGAGTTGTCCATACAGATTATAGCGCTTGGGCTGTAAGAGCCCCTCCGGAGTCTGTACACACCCCCAGTGAGCGCATATACCTACTGAGTACGAGCGCTGAGTGCCGAGTGTTGAGCTATTGAAAAAGATTGAGTGACTATTGCTCTGAGAGGATGCTTTTGATTTCATTATTGTTGCACTTAGCTGCCATATATCACTACCTCGAGGTTTTCTGAAAGATATTATATTCTGTTTCACTTGAACTTGACATAAGGTTTGATCTGAAGTTATCGAACTTAAAAGCACGCCTACTTTCCTATGTTGAAATTTTTGAAACTGAACTGTAATTGTAGATCTCGTCACTACTTTCAGTTCTTTATTTAGTCTTGTTACTTACTGAGTTGGTTGTACTCATGCTATACCGTGTACTTCGTGTGCAGATCCAAGTATTTTCGGACACGGTGGGTGTTGATATTCTGCGCAGTTAATTCTTGGGAGACTTCAAGGTAGCTGCCCGACGTTCACAGTCCTTATTTTCTCCTTCCCTATCTTTCCTTTTATTGTATCTAGTTTCGAACTATCTTAGATAGTGTATTCCATACTTGTGACACTTAGATGCTCATGTACTCTATGACACCCTGATTTGGGAGTTTTTCCGTGTTTTGTTTGGATCTTTTTATCTTGTTTATGAGAAGTTGCTTTTAAACTGCTTTAAAAATCCATTTTTGTTAAAAGTGTTGGAGTTATTCGTAAATATCGGCTTGCCTAGTACCACGATAGACGCCATCACGACAGGTTAGGATTTGGGTCGTGACAATTTCACAACTCTCTTGATGTTTTCATGATGCTATAAACATTGTACAAGCCGTCTTGCAAGCAACTTAAAATATAGCTTTTGCATAAGAAGTCAGAGTGCTTCCATGCCTCCGTGACCACAAATCGTTCATTTTCGGGAGTTTCTTCTCCTAAAACTGGAACGTCCTCGCTGATAAAGCGATGCAAACTAAGTGTTGTCAGGTAGAAGAATATTTTCTGCTGCCAGCGCTTGAAGTCCACGCCGGAAAACTTTTCGGGCTTTTCTGCCGGTGCCATCGCAGGTGCAGGCATTGTGCGACTGGAAGACGCAACCATTGCATCATTAGTTGTCCCAATAGAACCATTCTGGTGTTCCGTACTTGTTGTCATTTTTCTGTAAAAGAAAGTGACACAACCAGAATTAGTAAGTCGGTGAAGTTTTTATATCTTCAAACCGAATACAAACAACCAAGTAGAAAATTACTAGAATTTTAATCTCGGATTGAGTATAAAGCCACAAAGACTTTAATCTCAAACTGGAGTAGAAAATCTGAAGATTTTAATCTCTAAAACGGGAGTAGAAAATCGCTAGGATTTTAGTCTCCCAAAACAGAAAGTAAGATGAATACAAAATATATAAAAAAATTCCTTAAGCTTGTTAGTATCTGTACAAAAATATAATTTCTGCAAAATAAAATGAAACCAGAAACAAAAGACATAAATAGAATCAGATGAATAACGTTCCGAGCCCAACAGAAAACTGTGTTTCCTTTAGGAATTTAATCCCTTCACTGTTGCCCAAGGTTGTTGGATTGATTCCTCCCAGGATAGAACGGAACAACTATTCTGTAATATAGGCTATGAAAATTACAGAACTTCGTCAAACTCAACAAACGGCAGTAAACCACATTGATGCTTACATTTTTCTTTTGAAAATCAATGCAAAAATGCAGAAGAGAAGGGAGAATATGCAAATTTCGATGGTCTGAAAGTGAGACCAAACCTCTGAATTTATAGCCAAACAGTCTGGGTTGAATAGGTACGAAAGTACCTGTTCATATGAGGTATTGTTTCGGCAGAAAATTTTTCTATTTGGTCGCGAATTTTAATTTCAAAAACGACCGTTAGGCGTTAGGAAATTACCCGCAAAAATATCATGAAGCCGAAGCCGAGCAACGACGACGCGAGGCACCATTTCTTCTGAACTCTTTAAGTGTTAGAAGATGTGCTTCTCTATATAAGTACAAAAATTTTCTTTCCTTTTTCCGATGAGGAATAAAGTGTATTAGTAAAGGAAACAACTTCAAATTTTTCATTCCCTTCAAATCTTTTTCCTCTATTTTCCATTCACACCTCTTATTATATAGAACCCAACACATCTTATGATAATTATGACGTGGAGGGTAGTAGTGATGGTGCTAGCTGGTGGTGCAGTGATACAATATTCAATTTGGACGGACTTGAAATAATGATATGTCTATGATATCCTGGTTAAGAGGAATTGCAATTTTTATTCCTAGAACAATAGGCCGAACAAAAATATCATGCGTCCCCATATCCTCATAAAAAATAGGTGAGAATGCCCGTACAATAAGTTCAACCCTACATTCCTTTCATTCTGTATCTTATAAAAATAAAAACAAAAAGCAATAGGAGAGAATTTAGCGAAGAATTATCGAGTTTATATTTTGTTCTGACAGTCAATTAAGGTGGAGCAAAGGAGGAGGGGAAAGGCAAACGAGGGAAGTACTGTTTGTCGATTTAAACAAAAAAAAATCCTATGCAAAATACTAGTAATTGTTTTGATCTTCAAATAATTACAGTATGTTCTGATGATTTGTTTCAAAATAATAATAATAATTAAAAAATAAACCTCTCACAGCAAATTCAAAACAATTCTTTTAAAATCGAATCTATAATCTAAAAAGTAAAACAAAAGCTACACACTATTAAAACAAGAAATCTTTTTTGTCGTTGTTAAGGCATTGTCAAAAATAATTATAGTAGCGTTTCTTTGAAAAAAGGATAAAATTTTCTTTTTGAAATTATTTTTCAATTTCTACAAATCTTGAAAGTTTTTCAATAAAAACAATTCAGCACTTTCTGAAAACAAAAGTCATATTAATAATTTAACTCACTTTTTTTATCCTAAGTTTTTTTTTTTCCTTTTTGTTTCTAGCCAACAGTAAAAATGGTTTGTCAATTAGGTTACCTCAGCCGCAAAACGCAGGACAAATGTGTGTACGCAGGCCCGAAAAAAATTGGGTGTTTTTCGGTGCTTTGCTACAAAAGGTCCTACGCAAGTGACGCGTAATATTTAAAAGCATGAGACAATAATAATGTACCTTTAATATGGCAGAAGTATTTATGTTTGGTAGACTGTTACATTAATACATAAATGAATATTGTCCGCAATTACGTATGGCTTTGGTTTAATGACCTTTTCTTTCTTTTGTGCTTTTCTGTGAGGTAACTATCTCACTGATTAGGATAACGATGATCTACCTAATACAGATTCAAAATTTTAACTTAGTAAGCGCATCAGTATTTGTTTGAGGTTATCAGTCTAATGTTTACAATAAACTTGTCAAATAAAGAAGAAGACACTTTGAGAATTTTTTTTTCTGTGTATTGAGAATGAAAATACATTTTACAGGGTGCACGTATAAATATAACAAGAAAGGAATGTGGCTATAACTAACTATTGCCAAGTGGCAGTATCCTATTTCCTAATGTCTAACCACCTATCAGATAAATACAAGGAAGGATAAAATTATCTACAAAATGATAACCACAATAGTTAATCTCTTGACCATGGTCTGGAATGCATGTAGGCCCAAATCATTGAGTCACAGCTGAAATAAGCCAAGGCCCAAAGTCATTCAGGCCCAATGCAAACTAAACCCATATGAAACCGGGTCACCCATCTCTTATAGAAATATAACATGTCTTGTCATTCAGACAGAACATAAACTCAACCCAACCATCTTCTCTTTCATCGTACTTATCACCACCGGAATATTCTAGAGATCGACGGCACAAAGTTTGATCAACACCATTTCAAACACCCCTCCTCAAGTTGGATGGGGATGAAGAAACCCCCAACTTGCGTAGAAGATTATGATGCAAAGGCCCAGTTAGGGATTTAGTAAATAGATCTGCCAACTGAGAAGCAGATCGGACATAAGACAAAGAAATCAAGCCGGCTAGGAACTGTTGGCGAACAAAATGGCAGTCGATCTCCACATGCTTCGTTCTTTCATGAAACACGGGGTTCTTAGCGATGTGAATCGCAGCTTGGCTATCCGAATGAAGAGGAACTGGGAGTGAAATTGGAATAGAGGGATCGTCAAAGAGACGGACCAGCCAAGTTAATTCCGCTACAACTCGTCGCATAGAGCGATATTCGGCTTCGGCAGATCTAAGAGAAATGGCATATTGTTTCTTGAATTTCGAAGAAATTGGAGATGAACCAAGGGAGATGTAGAACCCTCTCACAGACCTCCGTGAATCTGGGCAAGTTCTCCAATCGGAGTCGCAGAAAGCCAGAAGTTGAAATGATGACGAAGGTGACATAAAGAGTCCAAGACCTGGATCCTTGAGAAGATAGTGAAGAACTCGAAATGCTGCAGCAAGATGAGGAGCTCGAGGATCCTGCATGTTTTGGCTTAAATGCTGAACGGTGAAGCAAAGATCCGCTCTTGTGTGAGTTAGGTAGTTCAACTTGCCTAAGAGGTGACGATACAGTGTTGGATCATGCAGAGGTTCCCCTGTTTTAGCAAGCAATTTGACTGATGGATCAACGGGTGAAGATACTGTGGTCAAATGCAAGCAATCAAATTCTGCTAACAAATCTATGGTGAACTTCTGCTGACACAAGATCAATCCATATGGCTCACGCAATACCTCCATTCCCAGAAAGAAATATAAGTCACCAAGGTCCTTAATTTTGAATTCCTGATTTAGGAAGTCTTTCAAGGCACATAATTCAGCATTGTCATTTCCTGTTAACAAGATGTCGTCTACATATACAACAACAATAGAAATGGAAGAATCTGTCTTTTAAAAAAATAAGGAGTAATCATTTAAAGAGTGAGTGAACCCCTTAAAATTTAGGGTAGATGTGAGTTTTGCATACCACTGTCGAGATGCTTGACAAAGTCCATAAAGAGACTTTTTCAGGCGACAGACATGCATAGGGCTAGGTGGAGTGACCCCAGCAGGAAACTTCATATAGACCTTTTCATCAAGGTTTCTATGCAAAAACGCATTATTTACATCTAATTGATAGAGACCCCATCCTTGCTTCACTGCTGTACCCAAAATGAACCTTATGGAAGTCATTTTGACTACTGGTGAAAATGTTTCATTGAAATCAATCCCCTCACATTATATATCACCTCTGATCACTAATCGTGCTTTTAGTCTCTCTATGCTCCCATCTGAGTGTTGCTTCACTTTATACACCCACTTACTGGGTAAAGCCTTCTTACCAGGGGTAGTTCTACTACTTCTCAGGTGTTATTCAACTTTAGAGCATCAATTTCTTTACCCATGGCTTCTTTCCAACCTGAATATAGCTAATAGGTTCATAAACATTAGACATAGAGTTGAACATATGTTGATTTGAAGAAGATACACCACTAAAAGAAATTGAAGTAGGTGTTACTGGGGCTAGAAAACAAGAAGAACTAACATCTGTTAGCTGAAGAGCATTGCAGATATAGTCCTTTAGATAGGATGGAGTTTATGTGTTCTGGTGGATTTTCTTATGAGAGTGTCTACCACAGTTTCTGATTCTGGTGAGGAAAAAATAGGAGAACTCCTAGAAACTGTAAAGGATTTTGGTGTATAACTAGATGAAAGAGGCTGAAAAGCAACAGGAGATCTAGGTGTGTAACTGGATGAAGAAAATTGAGAAGGACCAGGGGATCCAGGACTAGACAAAAGAGGATAAGCTAAAAGAATTATCTGGAGATGAAACATCTTGGGTTGGCACATTAGAGGATTGTCTAACACATGTGTTCTGGTTAGCATAAGGTAGAAAAGACACATTAGGATTAGCAACTTTAATAGAGGCAAAAGGGAAGAATTCATGAAAGACTACATCTCTTGAAACAAAATGTTTGGGAGTCTTTAGATTAAGCACCTTATAAGCCTTTTACCATGTAGATAACCTAGAAAAACACAAGGAACTGCCCTTGCTTCAAATTTCCTTCTATGACTTGAAGGTGTGGAAGCAAAAAACAAACACCCAAAGCACCTAAGATTGGAATAATTAGATCTGACACTAAAAAGAATCTCATAGGGGGTCTTTAGGTGCAAAACCTTTGAAGGGAACCTGTTGATCAAGTAAGTTGCTGTCAAAAGACAGTCTCCCCAGTATGAGATAGGTAAATGAGATTTAAATAATAAAGCTCTAGAGGTCTCTAGTAAGTGCTTATGCTTTCTCTCCACAACTCCATTTTGTTGTGGAGTGGCCACACAAGTAGTCTGGTGTATGATTCCCTGAGAAAGAAAGAACTATGACTGAACATTTTCACTTCCCAATTCAAAAGCATTATCTGACTTTATGACTATTACTTTGGTATGAAACTGTCTTTCTACCATGGCTAGAAAGGACTTTAGAATTGTGAAAGCACTAGATTTGTCACTCTGTAAATAGGTCCATGTACTTCTACTAAAATCATCAACAATTGTAAGAAAAAACTTGAAACCATCATAAGTTGAATGCTTATAAGGTCCCCAGGTATCCACGTGAATTAATTCAAACACAGAGTTAGTTGTAATAGAGCTAGAAGGGAAAGAGAGTTTGGATTGTCTTGCCATTGGACAAACAACACAAGGAACAAAAAATTTGACACATGAAGGAATAGGAATAGATGATACATTCTTCATATTAATCAAAGGCATGTGGCCTAATCTATAGTGCCACAATTTGTCTTTTACATTGTAATCAGAAAAAGTAAGACATGAATTGGAAATAGCACTAGGCTTTAATTGACTGTTGGAATTAAAATTACTACTAGTCTTAGGGAAACTCTTAGAAGTTGTTGCTGGATGCCTTGACTCAAGGATGTACATGCCTCTTCTCTCTTTACCAATCTCCAGAGGGCCCTTCAGTGAAGGGCCCTACAGTAGAAAACAAGAAGAAGGAGTGAATAGGATGAACTTTCTAAGTTGTCTGCACAACTTGTGCACAGACAAAAGATTAAATTTGAATGAAGGTATGTATAAGACATGTTGTAACACTAGGTTAGGCAAAAGAGTAACAAATCCATAATGAGTAACTCTAACTCTACAAGAAATTGGAAGTTTAACTATTATTGGTTTGGGCAAAACCCTAAAATTTGAAAAGAACGCTTTGTTAAAAGTCATATGCTCAGTGGCTCCACTATCTAGTATCCATGACTGACTATCAATTTCTATGAAACAAGCATAAGTATCAAAATTTTTTGATATACCAGCACAGTTGAAGTGGGCAAGAGCATCAGAGGAACCTGCACCCTGCTGGTTAAAGTTCACCTGCTAAAGAAGCTGCAACAGCTGGGTCACATTCTCCTAGGTAAGGGCCTTCGCCTCTGAACTACTGTTAGTTCCTTGTTCTGCTTCTTCAACTGTGTTAAGAACATTGTATGCCTGGGCTGTACCTTGAAACTTCCTCTGCTTTGTGAATTTGAAATCTGTGGGAAATCCATGGGTTCTGTAGCACTTATCTATGCTATGACCTAGTTTCTTACAATAGGCACAAATGTTAGAGTTTCTCTTCACATCATAACCTGTTTTCTGTCCTTTATAATCATTAAACTTCTTCCCCCCTCTTGACTGATTTGCTGCCACAAAAGAGGCTGATTCACCTGGATAAACAGGTGTAGGATGTATTTCTCTCTGCTTCTCATCCTGCATGACAAGTGAGTGAGCCTGACCAATAGAGGGTAAAGGGGAAGACAACAGTATGTTGCTTCTGACCCCAATGAAAGTCTCATTTAGACCCATAAAAAATTACAGTAGCCTCTCATCTTGATGTGCCTTTAGGTTTTTAGCCTTAGCTCCACAATCACATTCACAAACACAAGCATAAAATGTGTTTAAAGCATCTAATTCATCCCGTAGACTTTTCATTTTAGTGAAGTAGCTTGATACACTACTATTACCTTGAATTACTGCACTTAACTCTTTCTATAATTGGAACAATTTTGCCCCATTTGTCTGACTAAACCTGTCTTCCAGGTCTCCCCAAAGATCTTTGGCACTTTCAGAGTACAAGACACTCTCTGCAATTTCCTTTGACAAAGAGTTGAGCAGCCATGATAGTACTGTTGATACCCAATTTTTCCCTATATATTTTTTAAAAATGTGCAAAATAACATACATATGCACATATAAGCATGCACAAGGTTTTTATAATTTTTTCCATAATTTTAAGAGTTTAAATTGATTTATTTTCTCCCCTTTTTATTCATAAAATCCCCAATAATTATTTCCCCANGATTTATTCATTTGATTTCTATACTTATACCAAAATGTAATTAATATAATTTTTATGCATTTTTATAATTACATTTGGTATTTTGTGAGCTAAATTGCATATAATTGCAATATTAACCAATTTTAATGTATAATTATATTTTATATGCGTAAAATTGGTCCATATATTTTTGTTAATTATATATTTTAAATCATTCTGGTATAGAAAGATTATTTTCAGAAATTATTTATTAAATTAAAATAGGGAAAATTGGCTATTTAAATCATAGCCAGATTTGGCTTTCAATTTTAGCCTAGTTAAACCCACTCCTAGCCCCAATTTCCTACCCAATTAACCCGACCCAGACCCTATAAACTCCTACCCAAACCCGGAATCCATCTATCCGGTCTAATCCTGACCGTTGATCTCCCAGATCAACGGTCCAAACGAGCCCTTTCCTTTTTTAATCCTAAAGACCAGTAACCCTATCTCATTTCTGAGATTCCGCCGCTCTCAAACTCTCTCATATCCTCTCTTCTCTCAACCTAACCCTAATCCCCTTCAATCGCCTCCTTCTTTTCCGGCCATCTCCGGCCATCTCCGGCAACCACCTTTCAACCCCAAGCCTCCAGTGGTTCCTCCATCGCCTTGCTCATCATCTATGAGGCCTTCAAGGGCCTTGGGCCATGTCGATTTGGATCTAGGGTTTCTGTTTCTGTTGTTCATGGCTTCTCCGGTGTGATTTTGGACAAAATCACACCATATTTGTTACGATCTTTGAAGTTCAGAGCAGGTTCTTCCGTTTCTATCTGGGTGTCCTTTGAAACCCTAACTTTGTTTGAATCTCTTAGATCTGTGCTATTTTTAACGATTTAAGTCTGTTCCTTTCTATGTTTTACACTATTCTCAAATTTCTTTTGAAAATCATCAACTTTAAGCCGTTTTTACTTTCTTTAAAGTTAGGGTTTCTCAGATTCTTCTGCACTCGTTCAAACTGATTTTTCTTTATGTTTAAACCTTTTCCTTGCATATATTGACTGATTCTATGTTCTTACTGGTTTTTCAACTCGCCTATGTTAAAAGCCCGAATTTTTTTAGATCTTATATGTCTTGGTTCTGTGTGTTAGCCTGACTACTTGATTCTTGTTAAGCTTCTGTGGTTACCATGCTTCGAATGGGTTTTACTGAGTCTTTAACCTACATATATCACCTCTATGTGATTGTATTCATCTTGAGTGTTCATCTCTTGCCTCTATCTGTCGATATTGCTGGCCTTGCCTGTTTGCTACGTCTGTTTGATCTTCTCTATTTATATGTTGAAGTATAGAATCATGACTCCCTCTTGATTGATGCTGATTTCCTTAATTGATGGTTTGATTGAAAGATTTTCTTTTAAAACCCTAAAATTCTACTCGTTTGTTTAAATTGACTGATTCCATTACCTTATTTGCTGTAGTACTTTATTTTTACTGAATCATTCCTTAATC